TCTTCTCTTTGTGGGCTGGGCACAAGGTGACGGACGAAGATTTCTACCAATTGTACAAGGACCCCTTGCGCGTGGCGTCTCGCAGTCAGTTTACGAAGAACAAGCCAATGAAGAACCAGCCAATGAGAGTGCCGCTTTTTCAGCCCGCGGAGACCGACGGAAGAAGAAGAGAGGGTATTGGCTGCCGTCTAGGAATGCTGTCCAATAGGAGCAGGCTGCGCCCGCAAGTCGGGCGGGCAGCTTGAGCTGCTCAGGAAGTAGCTGCTGCCCCCGAGGTGTGCGAGTTCTTCCGAAGAAACGGCCGCCACCGCAGCGATTTTGCAAGCCCTGCAGTGTACCCCCCGGCCTTAGGTAAGGGGAGCACTTGCCTTTACCCAGGCCTTGGGCCCCTGGCTCCAGGATAACTTCCCGGGCTGGATCCCTGGCTGCAGGGCCTGGGGTCGCCCCCACGAGGGGAGCTGCGGGCGGGCACAGAACCTGGCAGCATAAGGAGGTTCGGTGGCTCCGGGCGGCCCCAACTGTTGGGGTTGAGGGCCCCGAACCCACGCTTTTTCTGGCTTGATCGGGGAGGTGCCGGAGGTGGGGGTGAAGGCAGGGAAGGCAGGAGAAGAGTCCGCCGCCGGCCGTTCTCCATCCGGGGTGCCGAGCCCCTAGCTCTTCATGTGCAAATAGAATTGCTTTCCAGCTGGGCGCCCGTTACTTGCGTAACTTTCAAGTTCACGGAGGAACCTGTTCTTTGGTTTTATCCAGCTTTACTTCGCAGCGACACTGTGACGTAAATACTTACAAAAATTTTTTTTGAACGTTTATTTTTGAGAGAGAGAGAGAGACAGAGCATGAGCGGGGGAGGGGTAGAGAAAGAGGGAGACAGAATCCGAAGCGGACTCCAGGCTCTGTGCAGGCACAGAGCCCGTCGGGGGGCTCGAACTCACCAGCCGTGAGATCATGACCCGAGCCGAAGTCGGACGCTCAACCGACTGAGCCACCCAGGCGCTCAGTAAATACTATTTACTCAGTAAATCTATTTACTCAGTAAATAAATAAAAAGTAAATACTTTTATTCCCCGTTTTAGAAATGAACAAGTTGAACAGAGAGGCTAGGAAACCGGCCTAAGGTGCCACAGGTAGTATGGGGATTTGAACCAGATAGGCTACACTGCATGCCTCGGCCCCTTATCCTGTAATTGGCGGCCATCGTCCCACCTGTTACAGACTTATATCTGAGTAACAAAGTTTGGAAAGATGACAAGTGGGAAATTAACGTCTTAAGCGTCCACTTAAACGCCACACATAGAAAATAGCATTTGTATGGCATGCCGAGGTCCAGGATAAGGCAGCTCAAGGCTTGGGGTGGCTTTTTGGCTCTAGTCACTCCTGACATAGTCCTGGGCTGGAGGATGTATATTTCCCCGCAGTGGTTGGGAAGCTTTGCTCCAGACTGCCTCTAGGTGTGTGGATAATTCAGTAGGTATTTAGCACCTGCTGTGTACTTGTTGTTGCGGTGTATACCGTAATGAATCAGTTGGATTCAGCTGTCTGCTTTGCTGTTCTAATGAAAACTGGTTGCTCTTAAATGAAAACTGACATAAGGTGGGAAGAAACTTCATTTCTAATATTTAATCATACTGATATGTACGGAGAATAATAAAAAAAACCTGTGCACACACCATCTGGATCTAACAAACCTTTTGCTGTAATTGCATCCTTTTCTTTTTTCTTTTTCTTTTTCTTTTTTAAGAAATAAAAAAAGGTATATATATAGACACACACACACACACACACACATACATACATACATATATAGAGTTGAAGCCCATGAGAACCTCGGAACTCTCTTCCTGAATTTGATATTTTTCATGCCCAGGTTTGTTTTGTACTACAGTTGTATAAGTCCAGATAGCAGCATGATTTTTCATGTTTTTCATTATCCTAAAAATGGCATTATAGTGGATTCCTTTATAACCTGTTTTAGTTTCTTCTCCACTTTCTGAGTTCTCTTTCCAGGACTAAAGGTAATGAAATATCCTGGCTTAACATTTTTATTTTATTACTGTCTTTTTTGACCATCTTTTATTCTACTTTCTGAAAGAGTTCCTCGACTTTTTCTGATCCTTGTATTAACTATTTTATTTTGGCTGTCATCTTGCATTTTTCATTTCCCAGAGCTCTTCCTTGTTTTCCAATGTGTCCTTTTTTCCTCCCTGGCATTCTTTTCTTGTAAGTTTCAGGATTTTTTTTGTTTTGTTTTGTTCTTGTTTGTATATGTTTTTGGTTTTTGTTTTGTTTTTTACAGTTTCTTGCATTAATTTCCTTTCTTCCCTCCAAGTTTTTTCTGTTTGTCTGCTCTGGTCTCTCCCTCATTTTGGAGGCTCTACTCAAAATGTCAGTTGGTCCTTGGCTATTAGTTCCTTTTTAAGGAGAGCCCCTGCCCTCCCCCTTGAGGCTGTTTGGAAGCTTTATATGAGTGGCTGAACCCTGTCAAGCTATCAGGTAGTAGGCTTTTACTGTTAGATAGAGGGACAGAGCCTCGCCCATTTTCTTGGGGATTCACAACTGTCAATATTTTTAGGTTTGTTTTTTTTTTTTTTTTCTAGAGAAGAGTCCTCTAATTTCCTGCTTTAAGCAGAGGACGTATATAAACCAGAATATTGTGTCCCGGATTTGTGCAGGGGGAAAAAGTGAGGAGAAGAGTTGGGAGAGTCTCACACTGTTCAGTTTGTAGACTTGCACTTAACTGCCTATTTTCACTGCTTTGCTGTCACCCATGCTGGTCTTAAGCCTGTCTGGTACAAGCCTCCAGCTTCCTACAGCAGAGGTGGAGGAGGTGTGTGTTTGGCTGGCTTTTGTGCGTTTGAGACAGGCTTTCAACCAGTCCTGTTCTTCAGCTCCACGTTCAACACTGTCCTCTGTGTTGCCTGGTTTCTGCAGTCCCCTCGGTGGGAGTCCGCTTGCTTCTCTGTAGCACACAGTAACCCCCTCTTTGCAGTCACTTGGGCTTCATCTTTTCAGCTCTACTAAGAAGTTACCAGTTCTAGCAAAAATTGCATTGTCTCGTGCCCTGTTTGAATTTGCTTTGTCTTTGTGATTTATCCTTTATCCTTTCTCTAATGCAGTTGGGGGGAGTTGTCATGTTAATGGGTTTTCAGGAATGACTAGAAAAAGAAAGATACGTGTGCTTCATCCACCATGTGTATTGTATTCCATCATCTTACTCGGCCCACCCCAGTGTGGCCTCAGGCCCCCTCGCTGTGCGGAAACTGCTCTTTTCTAGGTTATGTGTCCTCGCTACATTGTTAAATCTAGTGACCATTCTTCTGCGCTAGACACACTTGACCATTCCCTCCTTGAAACATTCTTCCAAGACCAAGACGCCATGCTCTACCAGGTTTTCTCCTCCTTCACACCCTTTGTTCTGGGCTCTTGCCTGTAACTTATCCTTTTAATGTTAACCTCTCGGTTTTGAATCCTTGGCCCACTTTTCTTCTCTCCCTTTCCTTCTTAGGTAGTTTAATCTATGATTTTAAGTGGCATGTCTATGCTGACAGTTCTTATAGCTGTCTACTACTTTCCATCTCCACTGCTACCACTCTTGCCCAGGCTTCTGGACCACTAGTATGCACTCCCACAAGTAGTCTGTAAACGGCTTAGCTTACTTGCAATCTTGCTCCCCCTACAGTCCATTCCTAACATAGAAGAAACTCCTGGGGCACCCGGGTGACTCTTGAGTCTTGATTTCAGCTCAGGTCATGTTCCCAGGGATGTGAGATCAAGCCCCGTGTCGGGCTCCATACTGACCGTAGAGCCTGCTTGATATTCTCTCTCTCTCCCGCTCTGCCCTGGTAGTGCACGCGTGCGCGCTCTCTCTCTCTCAAATAAAGAAAAAGAAAGAAAGAAAAGAAACTCCTTACCAAACCTTTTAGTGCTAGTGTTTGGCCTCATCAACCTCATCCCATACTTGGACTCTTCATTACTGTGTTCATTACATCTGCCTGGTTTCTGTTTTACCAAACCCATGCTCATCAGGGAGCTGTGTACTGATTTCCTTCTGAAACTCTTCTTTGGCTCTTCCTATGGCCAGCTTCTTTTAGTCCTTCATGCCTGGGCTCAATTTTCAGTCTTTCTGAAAGAGCGTCTAAAATGGTAATCCGCGACTCCTCCCAAAACCAAATATCACCATGTATAATTTCCACATTTATTTGATTATTCTTGCGTTTGCTAGAATGTAAACTCTGTGACAGAATTTTATCCTTTACACAGTTTTATCCTGTCATTGCCTCTGTGGGGGATCTGACTACTTAACAGGTGCTTAATATTTCTTGAATGGATTAACATAGTGGAATTAGAGACAAGAACCAAATAAGGAAAGGGACATGACAGGCACTGAATAAATATTTGTTAAATGGGCTAACAAATGGCATTAGGGGAAACAAAAATAATGACAAGGATGAAGTAAATCAGGTTTGCTCAGCCTTTTTTGGAAAAATTAGGTAAATTTCTGTTTTGAGTTAGTATTGAGTTAATTTTGCAAGTGTAAAAATGTCCTTTTTCTGTTTATCCTTTGTAACTTGGTGCTGTGAAAGATGAATATTGCCCACTAAAATCAGATGTAGCGTTCTATGCATTTGTTTTGGTAAATCTCTGTATTCAGGTCATGACAAAGAACTGCAGGAGGTCTGGGAAATTACTTTCAGATACAGTAGTTCAACCCTCTTATTTCCTAGATGTTTCTGCTTTAGAAGATAGTACTGTGATCACATGCCTTCACATTTGTAAAGGGTAAGCCGGAAAGCTAGTTTTATAAGTACTTGTTACAGAGGGAAAAAGTTGATGGCCGAACCCTTCTGACCTAAAATAAGTAACTAAAATCTCTTGAAGATTTTCAGTTTTGCCGAGAATGATCTTAAACAGAACATCTAGAAGACTTAGATGTGATTATATCGGCTACCTGGCATGTTTTCTCTCCTTTGCTGATACTTTTTACCAACATTACTTCCCCAGTGATGGCTCATGAAGAAATGGAGTATAGTCTTGAGATGCAGTTAGAGCATCATGCTGCAGAACAGCCCGCCCCTGCCGAAGTGGCCGGCAGCCAGGAGGGACCGTCCCCGCTCCAGCCTCTACCTGCCGAAGTGGCCGGCAGCCACGGGGGGCCGCCCCTGCTCCAGCCTGCTACGCGGGTGTCTGCTGACCCGACGGAGGAAGTGGAGCGGTTGGGAGAAGATGGTGTGGAGGATGTTCATCCGGGAGCTTCGGAGGAGCGCGGGCAGGGACCTGGTGTTAACCACCCCGTCCAAGTGTCGTCACTGGAGTCAATGAACAGCTTCCTCAGCGGGCTGCAGAGGCTTCACGGCATGCTGGAGTTCCTGAGGCCCCCTTCAGACAACAGCGTGGGGCCAGTGAGGGCCAGGAGGACGAGGGGGTCTGCCTCCCGCAGGTCAAGACCCGGAGCGTCTCAGAGGACCGACCGTGCCAGGTAAAAACTCATGTCCGTCTCGGGATCGGTGCCGCCCTGGGAGTTGCCAACGCCGGTTCTGGCCCTAGTGCGCCGAGGGCTGCCACTGTGACTTTTGGCAAGTCAGGTGGCCTTGCTGAACCCCCGTTTCCTCAGGAGTTAGATGAAAATGAAAGCACTTCCCTTATTCACTTCACAGAGTAACCGAGAGACTCAGTTACACTGAGGTGCTTTGGAAAGTAGGTGCTGGTTCGTTGGCAGCGGCTTCTGGAGAAGTAAGTGGCTCTTCCTCAGATCGCTGGCATGTCGCAGAAGTACTTTTTTAAGTCCTGAGTCCACACTTCGGCTACCCAGGATCCGTTGTTCATTGGCATTCCGTGTAACGGGGTAGTAGACTTTGGAAGACAGGCGGGCTGGATTCAGAGAAGCCTTGTGAAAAGTACGGTGTCAATAAAGTTAGAGCTTATCTCGCTAAGTGGGGAAACATTCCACCCCTCCTCACCCGAGAGTATGTTGCGGAGTTGAAAGTAATTTTCTTTTATAGTTTTTGGGTTGAACTTGCCTCTTGAAGACCTTAGCTGTCAGGTCCTGACAGGGTCGTTATGAAAAGTAACCGGTGTCTATGCCTTGTCTGTTTTTTAACTTCCTCCTTTATTTGAAACCCTTTATTTCACGTAGATTGAATTTAAGATCTTTATTTTATATGTGAGGGAAACTTGGACCCTGAGAAAGTGTTTTGTTCAGGGTCTCATAGCCACTGCAGGGATGGAGTTGAGCTGGTATTGGAACCCTGATCTCACTTGTTTTCTATACAGACAGACGACAGAGGAAGCTTCGGTCAGATCCGTGTGTTTTCCTTACATTATGGAAATGAAGAGATGATACTAACAAGCAGTAACTAGGCCACCTGTTCACTGTGTTTTACAAATGAGGAAGCTGATGGAATCATTTGTGTTTTGACTGTGGTACCTCTGGAATTGGGATTGCGCCTTCTGATCCTGGATTCGGCATCCTTTTGCCTGGGTTCTGGCGATTACTGTTTGGGGCAAGGGGAGGGTGCTCTGTTACAGCTGGTCCAGTCTCTGGAGCCTGGTCTTTTCTGGATGTGACCCATCAGGGTTGATGTGCTTCGTTTTGTGTCGACAAGAGTTTCACACGCATGCTACTGTTATTTAAGGTGCCATTCTGATTGTGAAGGCAGAATAAGATTTCGTATGTTTGTGTCATAGGGGAGGCACCTTGCAGTGCTGTTTGGGGAGCCTTTCAAAGTAAGTGGGCTGAGAGTTGAGACTGGTGTCCCCAGGAACTGGCTGACTGCCAGGAGGCCTCACAGTATTCCTCAGCCTTAGATGTTCATATACTCTCTTGGGGGAGGGGAGTTGGGGGCAGAGTTGATTGCTCTTGGTGGGGTACACTTACCAGCTCACAGGAGAGTGATGCTTATAAACCAGATGCCAATTTACAGAGACAAATGGAAATACCACAGAGACCAGATTCTCTTGCTGGCACCGTTAGCATAATTCTCCTAAAAGGTATTTATACACAGAAGCTAAACTCTGATCAGAAAATTGCTTCTGTGCTCAGAAACTGGGTTACAGAATCTAGATATTGAAGGATGTTAGTTGAGCTCTTTGACAACTGTATGTTTGTCTGTACAAAGCGAATAAATCTAAGGGGCCAGGGACTGTGCAGTTACGTGGAGAGAACATGGATTCTGTAGCCACGTAAATGTGGTATTGAAACTTCTTCCCCCTGAATATTGTGTGGTAAGTAAATGCCACACTAAATTCACATAAAAATATGAGCTTTTCCAGGACCAATTGCTTATTTTACCTTCTGAATTTCTTTTTATTATTTTTTTTATACCTCCTGAAGTCTTTTTTTTTTTTTTTTATTTTTTTTAACGTTTATTTATTTTTGAGACAGAGAGAGACAGAGCATGAACAGGGGAGGGTCAGAGAGAGGGAGACACAGAATCTGAACAGGCTCCACTCAAAGCGTCAGCACAGAGCCAGGGAACTCAGTCCACAGGACAGCGGATCTTATTGAAAAGGCAGTGGGACCAACATTTGGAGCTCCCAGGCACCCTATACCTTCTGATTCTGCCTTCAATTTCTTACTATGGTGTTTGGCATTTACTCCCCTGATAGACCATTTCTGGGCCAGGTGCTGACAGCCTGGGCCAGGGTGAGCAGCTGTGCCTCAGACTCCACCGAGAAGCCAGAGTCGGAGAAAAGTGAGTAATGAGGTATTTTTCCTAACAGGCTTCTCAGCCAAGATCACAAACTCCTTTCCCGTTTCTTTGTTTGAGGCTGCTTGATTCTGATTCTGGCTGTCAGCATCATCACTCATTCATCAAATATTTCTGACATTCCACTCTGGGAGAGACTGAACTTTGCCTTGGAGATACATTGTGAGCAGGACAGATCAGGGTACCTGTTTTCATGGAGCTTATGGAATCTGGGACTATAGAGGCTAGGCAAGGGGCAAGAACTAACACTGGTTTTTAATTCAGAGATAATAAGTGGAGGGAAAGAGGATTTCTTGGGTTTCAAGGTTGTACTCCCAAAGACACCCTAGCACTTCCTCATGACGATAGTCCCCTTTCCTGTGTCCCTGTCTGACTTTGGAAATGCCTTTTACTATCTTAATGTTAATGAGTGTTTTTTAATCACTTGATTTTTTTACCAGTTTCTATGCAGGAATGCTCAGTGTGCATGCCCAGTAGCCCCTCAGCCTCACTTTAATGTGGATTTCATTTGATTAAAATGTACTTAAGAAATACTGTTCTTATGTGCTGGTCTCGTGGTAGCTAAAGCTGCTGTTCGCACACAATTCCCAAAAATAAGTTGATAAAGTTGCTTATTAGTATTTTTTAAAAAGAAAACCTGAGTGACCTCAGTAAAAATGGCCGGACCTCTGAAACAGTTGGCAAAATTTAGCAGAATCAACTTGCAGGATGCTGGAAATTAAACAGATACTTACACCATTTTCAGGGAGCGAATATTAAAAACCAAACCAAACAGCTGATGTCAGTAGAACAGTAAGCTTCATGACATTCCTTGTTCCCAGATCCCTCTTCGGCTTAGTGTAACCATGAAAAGCCACTGCCTGCGATCACGGTGAAAACGTGAGGGAGTAGAATGGAATGGGAGCTCCTTCAGAGCCTCATTCCCAGAGAATTCCCTTTCTTTGTCCTGTTTGGTGGTTTCCTAGAAGATCTCACCTGCAGGCTATTCCTGATTTAGCACTTAGGCCCAGTCTAAAAAGCCTACAAGCCTTTTCCCCAGAGGCTGCCTGAGGTGGTGCATAACGACTGGGGCAAACTAAACTAACCAAAAAGCTTAAAAGGAAAAGCTAAGGAATGAGATCTTCGTAGGGGTTTTGAAAAGCTCTGACATATTCTTAGAAATCTAGAAGGCCACACATATGCCAAGGGCTGTGTACAACTGTGCCCGCGCCCAGGAAAGACCTAAGAAGGCACTAATTCCTCAACTCTTATTGGCGTTGAGGCTCTGCACAAGCAGGAAGAATTGTCACCTGCCTGGCTGATTACTGAAGGTGTGCCCCAGTATACACACACAGTCATACACTCAGCGAAGACCAGGAGACTTATTGGCTCCTCAAACTCTTGAACCCTGAGATAATGACCTGAGCTGAAATCAAGAGTTGGATGTTCACCAGACTAAGCCACCCAGGTGTCCCAAGATTTTTAAAATTTTTTAGTAATTTCTGCACCTAACACGGGGCTTGAATCCACAACCCCAACATCAAGAGTCACACGCTTCACTGACTAGCCAGCCAGGCACCCCTAAACTTTTCTATTAGAATTTGGAATAGACATTTCTATATGAACAAAAAAGACATAGTCCTATAGAAAAGAGCAAAGCAGGGGTGCCTCTCAGTTTCAGCCTGTGGCTCTTGATCTCACAGTTGTGAGTTTGAGCCCCACGTTAGGTGTAGAGTTTGCTTAAAAATAAAAGAAATCTTAAAGAAAGAAAGAAAACAGCAAAACAGTAGATATAAATCCTGCCTTAAATGCAGTTGTATTAAACACAAATCAAGGGGCGCCTGGGTGGCGCAGTCGGTTAAGCGTCCGACTTCAGCCAGGTCACGATCTCGCGGTCCGTGAGTTCGAGCCCCGCGTCAGGCTCTGGGCTGATGGCTCAGAGCCTGGAGCCTGTTTCCGACTCTCTGTCTCCCTCTCTCTCTGACCCTCCCCCATTCATGTTCTGTCTCTCCCTGTCCCAAAAATAAATAAACGTTGAAAAAAAAATTTAAAAAAAAAAAAAAAAATAAACACAAATCAAAAGGTACAGATCAGCAGCATTGAGTTTTGTTTTTTTTCTTTAATCCAACTGTATTCTGTCTACAAGACAGTTTAGATTCAAAGATATTAGTAGGTTGAGAGTAAAAGGATGGACCAAAATAACATTATGCAAACAGTAACCGTAAGAGAGTAGGAGTTAATGTACTAATATCAGATGAAATAGACCTTAAGACCAAGATTGTTATAAGAGTCGGGGTGCCTGGGTGACTCAGTCGGTTAAGCGTCCAACCTCAGTTTGGGTCAAGATCTCAAGGTTCGTGCATTCAAGACACGCATTGGACTCTGTGCTTGTGGTGTGGAGCCTGCTTGGGATTCTCTCTCTTTCTCCCTTTCTCTCCCGGCCCCTCCCCACCTTGTGCTTATGCTCTTCCCTCTCAAAATGAATAAACTTTAAAAAAAAATTTTTTTAAAGATTGTTGTAAGAGTCAAGAATGACATTTTATAATGATAAAAGGGCCAATCCATCTAGAAGATATAACAATTATAAACCTATATGCCCCTGTAACAGTGCCCATGTAACAGTACATGAAGCAAAAACTGTCATAATTGGTGGTAGAAATCTACAATTCACCGGTAATAATAGGAGATGTCAGTACACTTTTGATAATGAGTTTAACAACTAGGCAGAAAGTCAACAAGGAGCCGGAAAACTTGAACAATACTGTAACCCTACTAGATCTAATAGAAAATTCCACTTAATAGCAGAGTATCCCTATTTCTCAAGTGCACACGGAGCATTTTCCAGGACAGATCATATGTTAGGGCATAAAACAAGACCAATAAATTTAAAGGATTGAAATCATATAAAATATGTTCTCTGAACACAACAGAATGAAGCTGGACATCAGTAACAAAGAATTTGGGGCATTTCACAAGTATGCAGAAATTACACAACTCCTAAATAACCAAGAGTTCAAAGAAGAAATCCCAAGAAAAATTAGGAAATACTTTGAGATGAATGAAAAGAAAAACCTAGTATACCAAAACTTTTAGGATGCAGCTAAAGCAGTGCTTAGAAGGAAATGTATAGCTGTTAAATGCCATGCTAAGAAAGGATAAAGTACTCAATAACCTAGCTTAAGGAACTAGAAAAAGAAAAGCAAACAAAATAAAAAATCCGGAATTCAAAGCAAGCAAGCAGAAAGAAGGAAATAATGACCATTAGAGCAGATATGAATGAAATAGACTTCATAGAAATAGAAAACCAGCTAATCCAAAAGTTGGTTTTCTGAAAAATCAACAAAATTGACAAACTTCTAGGTAGACTGATCAAGAAAGAGAGAAGACCCAGAGTAATCAGGAGTGAAAGAACATCACTATCACTCTTACAGAAGAAAGCAATTTTATAAGGGAATACTGTGAACATTTTTGTTTTTGTTTTGGGATTTTTTTGGTGTTTTAGAGAGCAGGGGACAGGGGCAAAGGAAGAGAGACAGAATCCCAAGCAGGCTCCACACCTGGCACAGAGCCCCATGTGGGGCTCAATCCTGTGACCCTGGGATTGTGACCTGAGCCAAAATCAAGAGTCGGATGCCCCACTGACTGAGCCACCCAAGCATCCCTGTGAACAGTGTTATACCAAGAAATTAGATAATTTAGGTGAAATTGACAAACTTCTAAGAAGACATGTTTATCAGTATTCTTTCAAGAAGAGAAAGAAAATCTGAATAGATGATTAACAAATAAAGGGATTGAATTATTAATTTAAAAACAAAATTCACACAGAACAGCCCAGAAGTAAGTGGCTTCCCTGGTGAAGTCTACCAAATGTTTAAAGGGGAAATCAATAGGCAGTTGATGAGGAATCCCAGACACCCTCTGGACTTTCCTTTTTTCACACGATTGGGAAGATGGCAGACATTCTGACTGAGCATGCCTACCAAAAGCAGCCAATTATCTTTCAAAATAAGAAGAGGGTTCTGCTAGGGGCACCTGGGTGGCTCAGTCAGTTGAGCGTCTGACTTCATTTTGGCTCAGGTCGTGATCTCATGGATTGTGGGATCGAGCACATTGGGCTTTGTGCTGACAATGTGGAGCCTACTTAGGATTCTCTCTCTCTGTCTCTCTGCCCCTCTCCTGCTCGCGCACGCTCACTCGCTCTGTCTCTCTCTCTCTCTCAATAAACATTAAAAAACAAGCAAAAAATGAGGGGTTTGTTTGGAGAAACCAGCAAGGAGAAGCTCCTGTGATACTACAAAAACATTGCGCGGGGCTTCCAGATGCCCAAGGAGGCCATTGAGTGCACCTGTAGTGGCAAGAAATGCCCCTTTACTCATAAGGTCTCCATCCGAGGGCAGATTCTGTCTGGTCTGGTGACGAAGATAAAGATGAAAAGAACCATTGTCATCCACTGAGCCTACTTCCACTACCTCCAAAAATACAACTGCTTTGAAAAACGCCACCAGAGCTTGTCTGTGCACCTGTCCCCCTGCTTCGGGGATGTCTAGACTGGCAACATTGTAACAGTGGACGAGTGCTAGCCATTGAGCAAGTCTGTGTGCTTCCCTGAGCTCAAAGTCACCAAGGCTGCTGGTACCAAGAAGCAATTCCAAACATTCTGAGACTAAACATCTGCCCATACACCTAAAGAAAATAAAGTTATTTTCCCAGTTAAAAGAAAAAATGAAATAACACCAATACTTAACAAACTTTTCAAAAAAATGGAAGCTGGGGGAATACTTCCTGATTCTTTGAGGTCAGTATTATTCCAATACCAAAAACATATAAAGGCATCACAAGAAAACTATAGACCAATATCGTTTATTGGTAATTTATGAATGTAGATACAACGTTTCTCAACAAAATACTAGCAAACTGAATCCAACAACATATAAAAAAGATGATACACTAAAACCAAACAGGATTTGTTCTAGGAAAGCAAGGCTGATTCAACATATAAAAAAATAGGGTCCCTGGGTGGCTCAGTCGGTAAAGTGTGCGACTTCAGCTCGGGTCATGATCTCACAGTTTGTGGGTTCAGGCCCCGCGTCGTGCTCTCTGTGCTGACAGCTCAGAGCCTGGAGCCTGCTTTGAATTCTGTGTCTCCCCCTCTCTCTGCCCCTCCCCTGCTCATGCTCTGTCTCTGTCTCTCAATAATAAATAAACGTTAAAAAAAATAAAAATAAATAGTGAGATACTATATTAATACAATAAAGGGGAAAAAAACATGAACATCTTAATAGATGAAGAAGCATTTGACAAAACTCTTTAATGATGAACAGACTAGCAGTGGAAGGGAACTTCCTCAACCTGATAAAGACCATGAATAAAAAAACCCTCATCGAACTTACTAACTTACTAAAGACTGAAAGCTTTACTCCTAAGGTCAGGAACAAGAATTTGCCAATTCTGTTTGCCGCTGTACTGGAGGTTCTCGCCAGAGCAATTAGACAAAAAAAAAAAAAAAAGAAATAAAAGGCATTCCAATTAGAAAGGATGAAATCAAACTGTAGCTATTCACAGGTGATGTGGTCCTTGTATATATCATGAAGTCATGAAAGAGACCAGACCCAAAAGGCCATATATATTATGATTGTACCATATGAAATGTCCAGAATAGGCAAGTCTACAGAGACCGAAATTAAATTAGTGATTGCTAGAGGTTGCAGAAAGGGGAGAAGAAGGAAGGACTGGTTATATGTGTACAGGGTTCCTTTTAGGTATGGCGAAAATGTTTTGGAAGAAGATAATGGTGATGGTTATCTAACCTGTAGTTATGCTGAAAACCACTGAATTGGTGTACTTTTTTTAAATTCGTATTTTTTATTTTTGAGCAAGAGAGTGCAAGCAGGGAAGGGGCAGAGAGAGAGGAAGACAGAGGATTTGAAGCAGGCTCCACACTGACAGCAGAGAGCCCCATGTGGGGCTCAAACCTACAAACTGCAAGATCGTGGCCTGAGCTGAAGTCGGACGCTTAACCGACTGAGCCACCCAGGTGCCGTGAACGGCACACTTTTAAATTGTGAGTCAAAAAGGATTCACAATTGCTACTTCTCATTTCAATTTATTCACATTTCTTTCTTTTTTTTTTTTTAAATTTTTTTTTTCAACGTTTATTTATTTTTGGGACAGAGAGAGACAGAGCATGAACGGGGGAGGGTCAGAGAGAGAGGGAGACACAGAATCGGAAACAGGCTCCAGGCTCTGAGCCATCAGCCCAGAGTCCGACGCGGGGCTCGAACTCACGGAGCGCGAGATTGTGACCTGGCTGAAGTCGGACGCTTAACCGACTGCGCCACCCAGGCGCCCCCTTTTTTTTTTTTTTTACAAAGGTGTATCTTCTGTTGAATTAGATACCAAATATTTATTTTGTTCCATTCTATCATCATTTTTTTTTTTTATTTTTTTTTTCAACGTTTATTTATTTTTGGGACAGAGAGAGACAGAGCATGAACGGGGGAGGGGCAGAGAGAGAGGGAGATACAGAATCGGAAACAGGCTCCAGGCTCTGAGCCATCAGCCCAGAGCCCGACGCGGGGCTCGAACTCACGGACCGCGAGATCATGACCTGGCTGAAGTCGGACGCCAACCGACGGCGCCACCCAGGCGCCCCTCTATCATCATTTTTAATAGAACACCCTAGTTTGCCATAAATTGTAGCTGAACTAGAAGAAATCAATTTTTTTCTGAGTGAGCAGTCTCCAACAATGTTTCTGGGTAATAATGTATCTTAATGTTATAAAGACAGTTATTAAAACTTAAAAGTAGATTACCTTTCAGTAATACTTTATAATTATCACCTAGAGGAAGTACAGAACACCTTTCTGATTTTTACTATCGAATGTCATTCTGTGCTGTAAGTAGGGTGTGGTCTGATAGGTGGGTTGTGAACGAAACTACAGCACAGTAATGGGTATGGTTAAAACTCAGCCAGCCAGAATAGGGTTAATTCTGCTCCCTGCTCTTCTCATCTTGAGTTAATTTTTGATATCATGCCGACATTTGATACCATAGCTGACATTATTTAAACTTAAAAAGAAAAATAATGTTTTAAAATAAGAGGTAAAACCATGATGACTGAAGCAGGACTTCACATTCTACCCCGAAGGACCTTGGTCTGTGTTGTTGCAGGAATTCCCTTGAGGCCATTTTTGATCAGCAGAGCCCTTTTTCTTCTTTCCCGCTCTCTTTCAACCCCTAATATCAGGAGACAGATTGCTGAGTTGTGTCCTTTAAAAGATACTGACACACGGCCAAAGGCCAGTAAAGTAGAATTTGGTTTTAGCAAGAGTCAACCTCCAGTGTGGCTAATGTAATAATTGAGTGGAAAAGAGAATATCCGGGCCAGCCAACGTCTGCCTAAAACTGCTATTTGTGCTTCAGTGTTCAAAGGCACATTTAACTGCCTGGAGATGGGTTGAAATGACCAGGATTTACTCTCAGATTACTGTGGCTTTTTCTTGTGTTGATGGTCCATGGTACTGTAATTCTGTTGTCTTTTTGCTTATGTAGGTCCAGAGCACCATTGGATGCTTACTTTCAAGTGAGCCGGACCCAGCCTCAGTTGCCAACCACGTCTCATGGTTCAGAGACCAGGAATCCTGTCTCTGAGGACTTGCAGGTCTCCAGTAGTTCTGATTCCGACAGCTCCACAGAGTATGAGGAGGTTGTTGTCCAGGGAGAGGAACCTAGAGCCGTTGTTATAGAAGGTGAGTATGTCGCTCAGTTTTGGATTCACAGGGCTAATACCCAGAAAGCTAGAAAGTCTAGACTTGTGATGTGATACTTTCCCTTTTGCCCCCAGATGTCAGTAGATTCCTGCTTCATACAGTACAAAGCTTTCACTGGCCATGATTCCATATAGAGGATTTGATCTGTCTTGAAATTTAATGTGATCTGTGACCCAGTCAGTTGGTCACTTTGTGATGGCATTTTATATTCTCTTTCATCTTCTTTGACATCTTATAAGGTAGTAGGTTCTTTATTTAAAGAAAAGCGTTGTAAATTCGGTACCCTGTCTAGTCGGCCAGTTTTTAAGTCCTACTATAATGCCATGTATTATGCAAGTAGAGCTATGTTTAGCAGTAGTGGGCAGAGACCCTGGAGCATATGTCCTGCTTACCCTCTGATACCCCAGATTATGGTCTTTTCCCACTAAAGGGACCCAGGACTTCTTGGAGAAGTGGCTTTCCAAGACTGGGATAGGAAATATACAAAATGAGCCTAGGGCGTTTGTGCTAGAAAGCAAGGGAGCCATCTCTCAGAGAGTCATCAGGTCGGTAGGCGTAGGAGCAACTTTAAAGGCGCTCCTAAGTGGCCTCAAGATGGGACAGTTTGAGCATCAAAACGAATAATGGGTGTATTCTTGGAGTATGGATTGAGATATAGGTTGAAATACATCAAATCTGTGAAAAATCCTAATTCATAATTATGTGCTTTTTTAAAAGCTCACTTATCAGCGTCCTAAGTTATTAGAGCCCTGACGCATTACTCTGAAAACTGGTGAATAAAGGATTACGCATTTATCCTGTTTTCCCTGGGTGAACTGTATTCAGGAAAACCAAATATTGGCTGATGAAGGAGGTTTTGTTTGTTTGTTAAGAGTATTTAAGGTTCACAACAAAATTGAGAGGACAGCGTGGAGATTTCCACACACTCCTGTCCTCACACGTGCACAGCCTCCCTGTTAGCCCCGCTCGCCAGAATGGTGCATCTAATCCGTGGCATGTTCACTCCAAGTCCGTGCTTTACCTTGGGGTTCACCTCAGGTTTTCCATTCTGTGGGTTTCGACAAATGTGTAATGACATCCCCATCGTTATACAGGGTACTCTTACTGCCCTAAAAATTCTCTTTGCCTCTTCATTTCTCCCACCTACCCCCAAGGAAGTTCTTTGAAGTAGAAAAACTCCAGCTAATATTGGAGCAGAGATGACAGGAAAAAGTCATAATTGTGTGACTCCTCATGGAATTCTGTATCTAGGCAAAGATCAGCAGTGGATCCTAAAACCATTAGGTTGAAAGGTTGATGGGATTCCTTTCAATGGAGGAAGCAAGCTGACACCACCAGACCATAATGTGCATTTTGATGTGTTGCAATCAGAAATCTCCATAGAGGGGCGCCTGGCTGGCTGAGTCAGCAGAGCAAGCGACTCTTGGTCTCAGGGTTGTAAGTTCAAGCCCATGATGTGTGTAGAGATTAGTTAAAAATAAAATTAAAAAAAAGAAAGAAACCTCCATAGCACTTAGGAAATACTGTTACTGCCCCCCAAATCCCTGAGTCTGCTTAAGACTCTAGATATAATAACCAGGTTGCCCAGTTTGCAGTAAGTAGAAGAACAAGGTAAATAATACCAGAGATGCAACCATTTAAATCTAAAATGTGTTCCATTGGAACATCTAGAAAAAAGATCTAAACATACATGAAGTTCTAGTGTATTGGAAAGAGAATATCTCAAATAGTGGGGAAAAGACAGACTTTTAAATTAATATTGTAAAAACTGGATTGCTAACTGGAAAACAAACTGGATTCATTCCTCACACTATAAAATCAAGAAATAAGTGAATCAGAGACCTAGTGTAAAAAAAGAAACCATTCTATTATTAGAATAATAGATGTGATAAAACCCAGAAGTAGGGAGCACTTTGAAGTCTAGAGGCAGTACAGTAAAATTACAAAAAAAAAAAACTTTGGTCGGTGTGGGGGAGGGGGTGCTGGGTGGCTCAGTCAGTGGAGCGTCTGACTTTGGCTCAGGTCATGATTTCACAGTTCGTGGGTTTGAGCCCCGTGTCGGGCTCTTGTGCTGACAGCTCACAGCCTGGAGCCTGCTTTCGATTCTGTGTCTCCCTCTCTCTCTGCCCCTCCCCTGCTTGCATTCTGTCTCTGTCTCTGAAAGATGAACAAATGTTAAAAAATTAAGAAAAAGAAGCATACAACCAAAGAAGTATTCTTGCTGCCCCTCTTCTTGCCAGAAAACAGAATTGAATCCACTGAAGCCCTTAGGTTTAACTGCCAGTTTATAGGAAATATCGGTGATAGAGCAAATAGTTAAGCAATACCACAAGGAAGCAGTCAGTCAAATCTGGGATTAGAGTGTTTCATAAGACAAATGACCAGATATCTTCCAACAAATCAGTGACAGGGAAGGGATAAAAATGAAGAATTGTTAGAGTGAAAAAAAACGTCACATATGTAACAGTCAAACTCGTTGTGGAGGCCTTGCTTAGATTCTGATAGCAATAAATGTAGTGTAATGAGTAACTTGAAAACAACTGGGAAATTTTGAATATGAACTGGGTATTAGTATTAAGAGATTATTAGTTTTGTTAGGCGTGATAAGGATAGTGTTGATGTAAAGAGAAATCTTTATCAGTTAGTATTACAAAAGTTTTTATAAGTGAAATGACATTTTAGAGTTTGTTGTTAAGCTTTGTAAAAGAAAATAATGGGGCTGGGGGGGCTTAGTTGGGAAAAGATTGGCAACAAGATCGATTTTTTTTTTTTTAATTGGGTGATGAGTACTTACATGTTATTTATACTGTTCAGTCTAGTTTTATGCATATTTGAAAATATCCAAAATAAGTTAAAAAATAAATTCACTGTTACAACTTAGGAAACTTAAAACAATACTACCAATTAGAAATGGAAAGCTGTGATACGCCAGGCTCTCCTGCTAGACTCTCATTCCTGACTTCTGTCTTCTTTTGTGCGTTACTAATCTTATCATTTCTGGAAATGACTTGGCAGACCAAGTAGGAGGTACCTCAGCAGAACAAGAAGTTACAAGTATCCGTGAAGGAGAGACCCTTCCCAAACAGGTAATATGAGCATCCTTTTAAATGAAGTGGTGATTTGCATTTAAAGAAGAGGCTGCAGGCTAAAGTGGAAAGTTTGCAGACTTTGTAGGTGGGAGGTCAGCGTGTGGGTCCAGTCCACTTATTTATGTGGCTGCTTCCTCATAGGTTTAAAAAAGCAGGGGTAGGGGCACCTGGGTGGCTCAGGTGTTAGACGTCCTACTTGGACGTCATGATCTGAGGTCATGATCTCACAGCTCATGGTTTCCAGTCCTACGTCAGGCTCTGCGCTGACAGCTCAGAGCCTGGAGACTGCTTTGGATTTATGTCTCCCTCTCTCTCTGCCCCTCGTCCACTCATGCTCTGTCTCTCTGTTTCTCTCTCAAAAATAAATAAATATTAAAAAATAAAAAGTAGGGGTAGATGTGAGGATAACTTGTCCTACCTACCTAACAAGGTTAAGTTTTGATTATACCCTTTATCAGTACATAAAGTTGACTCTCGTGAATCACTGCATAGTGTCCCATCTATAAATAAATTTTTGGTCAACTCTTTTGTCACATACACTATACTTGTTTCTTCTTTCTCTTGCTCTCCCTTTCCTTCCTTCCTTCCTTCCTTCCTTCCTTCCTTCCTTCCTTCCTTCCTTCCTTCCTTCCTTCCTTCCCTGGTACAAGTGCGTGCTTTGTACAGTTGTCTTGCAAGTATTTGTGACGAATATATGCTAGGTATATTTTAGCAGAGAGATTGCTCTGTCAAAGGAAAGATACATGGGAGCTCAGTCGGTTAAGCATCCAACTCTTGATTTTGGCTCAGGTCATGATCTCATGGCCTGTGGGATTGAGCCCACATCAGGCTCTACGCTGACAGCTGCTTGGGATTCTCTGTCTGCCCATCCCCCGCTCACATGCACATGCTCTCTCCTCTCTGTCTCTCTCAAAATAAATAGACATTTTTTAAAAAAGGAAAGATACATGTATTTTAGTCTTTATAGATAATGCCATGGACAATTTGTGTCACTTTCTACCTGCAGCAACAATATATAAACATGCCCATTTCTTCATTAACCCTCAAACATTGCTTGGTGTCATCAGACATCAGCTTATACCATCTAATAAATGAAAAAATGATCTCTTACTTTAATTTGCATTTTTCAGTTATAAATAAACACTTAACGAACCATTTGTATTTTTTGGTAAGCTGTTTATGTCCTTTGTTTTTCTGTTTTTGTTTTTAATTTTGATTTACATGAGCCAAGTATAACTGCTTGAGTTGATTATGAATCTAATTTTGAACGTATAACAAACCTGCTATTCCCTGTTGTTGATTATCTGGGTAACTGCCAGGTCTGTTTTGTTCTGTTTTGTATCTTTGTAAACATAGCTCCTTTTCTTCATTTGCATGAAAAAAATATCCAAGAATTTCCTAAGATGAAAGGATGGTAGTATTTTCCTGGCTTGTTATGAAACATTTGGCCAGCTTGCGTTTTAACAAAGAATGGCAAGTGATTCCGAGCTGTTGCAGCTTTGCTATGGTGTTTTCAGTTTTGTTTGTATTGTTTTTGTGTCGTTTTGTTGATGTGACAGTCGCACATCCTCTTCAAGACCGATATGCATTCTCTCTAATTTGAATGTATTCTGGTTTCCGTCCAGTCTCCCCAGAAGACCAGTCCTCTTCCATCTTCTGTTCCTATGGATGATGAAGAAGGGGACACTTGCACAATATGTTTGGAACTTTGGACCAATGCTGGGGATCACCGACTCTCAGCGTTACGCTGTGGGCACCTCTTTGGGTATAAGTGCATTTCTAAGTGGCTCAAGGGACAGACACGAAAATGTCCTCAGGTAAGAACCGTACATAAGGACTGTTCATGTGCACAGTCAGCATGTTAGGTCAGGGTTCCTAGAACCACACTAACTTTGTCTTGTTGGGCTCTTTAGTGCAACAAGAAAGCCAAGCACAGTGACATCGTGGTTCTTTATGCCCGAACCCTGAGAGCTCTGGACACTAGTGAACATGAGCAAATGAAAAGGTAGGTGACAAGAATCTGACTACCTGGCAAATCTGAAAAAGGAGGTATGAGTCACACTTAATGTGGTTCTCGGGCTTTACTTGGACCGTACTGGGGATCACTGGCAATCTGTCTCTCATTGTGATTAATAAATATACGTCTGATGTCTTCTGAGGGAGGTCTACATGATGTGTTCTTGATGTTTTGGAGGGGCACCTGGGTGGCTCAGTCAGCTAAGCGTCCGACTTCGGCTCAGGTCATGATCTCGTGGTTTGTGGGTTTGAGCCCCGCGTCAGGCTCTGTGCTGACAGTTCAGAACCTGGAGCCTGCTTTGGATTCTGTCTCCCCCCACCTCTCTCTCTCTGCCTTCCCCCATTTGCACTCTCTCTCTCACCCTCTTTTGAAAATAAATGAACATTTTTTTAAAATGCGGTTTCGGAGCAACAACTAATTCCAACTTCAGCTAGCTCAGTGAGTATAGGCCCCAGGTTCACTGAATGAACCTTCTCAACTATAGGGTAGGGGGAGCTTATCTAAAAATGAAGTCAGTGCACAAGAAAGCAGAGCTAAGCAGTGGAGGAAGATGGATTCCTGACCCTCAATTCAGCCATGCCTAAATTAGTTTCCAGTGGATTTCTCAGTGATAACGTTAGTTTTCAATTTTAGTTGGCCAGCTAAAGTAAAGTTTCTGTCCTGTAATCTAAGGAATATTAACCAGTGTTTCATCACATAATATTTTCATTCTGGGAAGACTGACACCTGGATCATGAAAATCTCCTTCCTCGAAACGGGGGGAAGGGGCACCTGGGTGGCTCAATTGAGCCCAGTCTTTTTTTTTTTTTTCAACTTTTTTTATTTATTTTTGGGACAGAGAGAGACAGAGCATGAACGGGGGAGGGGCAGAGAGAGAGGGAGACACAGAATCGGAAACAGGCTCCAGGCTCTGAGCCATCAGCCCAGAGCCTGACGCGGGGCTCGAACTCACGGACCGCGAGATCGTGACCTGGCTGAAGTCGGACGCTTAACCAACTGCGCCACCCAGGCACCCCAATTGAGCCCAGTCTTGATTTCAGCTCAGGTCATGATCCCAGGGTCGTGGGATCGAGCCCTGCATTGGGCTCCACACTGAACATGGAGCCTACTTAAGATTTGCTCTGTTTTTCCCTCTGCCCCTCTCCCCCGCTCGCTCTCTTAGTCTAAAATAAGGAGGGGCGGGGTGGGAGAAGGGAAAGGTGAAAGAAGGATGACAGGTGGTAGACCTGCCGCTCATTTCTTCTGTGCCCTGTACCTCTTGTAAGTTTCTGCTTTCAGGGCCTGAGTGCCATGTGCAGATTAGAACAGGTAAATTCAGAAGGAATGGAGTGACTTCTCCTTCCGCAGGAGCACTTAGCTATCCCCACCAACTTGGAATCAGCTCTGACACTTAAGCCTGTAGTAGCGTGACCCAGGGAAGAAGACCATGGTGTCTTAAGCCCTCTCCAAATCAAAAGTCATAGAGAAACCTATAGCCCTCCAGTAATACCTCACACCTGGTGTGGGCGGCAGACCCCAGCAGAGTGAGTCCCTGGAATTTTTGTAGCTTATTCAGATTCTTCCCTAAGGATTACATTTACTGCCTGCCTCTGCTCCTAAATACCTTAGTCAGGAATTCCTCATCTTACTTTTTGTATACAGTTCATGACCACTTGGAACATTCTCCAAGTCTTAATCTCCTCTTCCCTAGAATAGGCTTAATGATACTTTAAACAAAGCAGTAACAGAAAAGAGGATCTGGCACACGGCTTAAGTGTTGCCATTTGTTACCCCGTTTGTTTGTTCGTGTCCCTAAGCCCTCCTACAGCAGCACTCTCCATGGAAGATTCCTAAGTGAAGCTTTGCACGTGTAGTGCAGTACAAGAAATTATCAGCATTTTGGAAGCCCAAGAACAATTGGTAATAACACTACTTAAAATAAACTTTAAGAACATTAAAAAAATATATATCCCCCCACTGAAAGAGTGTAGGGACTTGGGTTTTCTCACAACACTGCTGGTAAGAATGTACACCAACACAACTCTTTAGAGGCCTTTGGCACTATGCTTTAAAAGCCTTCAAAAGTAAATCTGCAGGCATTTATTCTAAAGAAACAATTTGTGAAGAAATGCGTGCAAAGATTTATTTAATGAGACTTTTCATTTAAACATTGTTAATAATCCAGGGGGCCTGGGTGGCTTGGTTTGTTAAGCATCTGACTTCGGCTCAGGTCATGATCTTATCCCTGGATTCGAGCCCCATTTTGGGCTCTGTGCTGACAGCTCAGAGCCTGGAGCCTGCTTCAGATTCTGTGTGTCGCTCTCTCTGCCCCTCCCCCACTCATGTGCTCTGTCTCTCTTTCCCCCTCAAAAAGAAACTTAAAAAAAAAAAAAAAAAATGTAAGCATTGTTAATAATCCAAACTGAGAGACTTAACTGATTGAGTAAACTCTGGCATATTCATGTGATAGAATTCTACACATTTATTTAAACTGATGTTAAAGTGCACATAATATTTTGTCATGTGAAAGTACATTGTGATTATATTTTTGCAAAGTGAAAAAAAAATACAGGTAGCACTGAGTAGTGGAATTACAGGTGATTTTCATTTTCTTCCTTATTTTTTCGTATTTGGTCCAACAAATACTTAGCATTTTTACATGGTAGCTGTGTGGAGAGGGCAATTTTGTTTAAAAAGCTTACTTTGTAGGTGTCGCAGTTAATATATGATTGTATTTAAAACTTTGCGGGGCGCCTGGGTGGCTCAGTCGGTTGAGCGTCCGACTTCAGCTCAGGTCATGATCTCACGGTCTGTGAGTTTGAGCCCCGCATAGGATCTCTGCTGACGCTCAGAGCCTGGAGCCTGCTTCGGATTCTGTGTCTCCCTCTGTCTCTGCCCCTCCCCTGCTCATGCTCTGTCTCTCTCTGTCTCAAAAATAAATTAAACAAAACAAAACAAAAAACATAAAAAAAAAACAACTTTGCTGATTACTCAGAAAACTCCCGACAAACCAACGTCCAGGACCAGTTGGCTTTACAGGTGAATTCTACCAAAGTTTAAAGAAAAGTTAATAACTATTCTTCTAACTTTTCCAAAAAATAGAAGAAGAAGGAAAACTTCCAAATTCATTCTATGAGGCAAGTGCCTCCCTAATACCAAAACCAGATAAAGACACCACACAAAAAAAAGAGAACTAAAAGAGAGAGAGAGAGAGAACTATAGACTAATATCTCTGATGAACATAGATACAGAAATCCTCAACAGAGTATTAGCAAACCAAATCCAATAATACATTTAAAAAAAATTTAACCATGATCAAGTGGGATTTATTCCTGAGATACAAGGGTGATCTGTTATTTACAAATTAACCAGTGTGATATATTTTCTCAGAGAAAGGATAAAAAGCATAGCCATTTCAGTAGATGCAGAAAAAGCATTTGACAAAGTACAACATCCGTTCATGATAAAAAAAACCCTCAACAAAGTAGATTTAGAGGGAACATACCTCAACACAATAAAGGCGATATATGGAAAACCCATCATCCTTAAAAACTGAGAGTTTTTTCCCTGAGGGCAGGACCAAGACCGGGATGTCCATTCTCACCACAGCAATCAGACAAGAGAAATAAAATATAAAAATAAAAGGCATCGAAATTGGTAAGGAAGAAGTAAAACTTTCACTGTTTGCTGATGACATGATACTATATGTAGAGAATCCAAAGGCCACCAAAAACTACTAGAACTGATAAATGAATTCAGTCAATTGGCAGGATGAAAAATCAGTGTACAGAAATCTGTTGCATTTCTGTATACTAATGATGAAGCAGCAGAAGGAGAAATTAACAGTCCCACTTACAATTGCACCAAAAAACCCCAAAACCTAGGAATAAACTTAAGAGGTGAAAGACCTGTACTCTGAAAACTATAAAACATTGATGAAAGAAATTCAAGATGACACAAAGAAATGGAAGACATTCCATGCTCGTGGACTGGAAGAACAGATATTGTTAAAATGTCTATATTGCCCAAAGCAGTGTACTCATTTAATGTGATCCCTGTCAAAATACCAACAGCATTTTTCGCAGAACTAGAACAAGCAGTCCTAAAATTTGTATGGAATGATAAAAGACCCCGAATAGCCAAAGCAATTTGGGAAAAGAAAAATAAACCTGAAAGCATCACAGTTCAGACTTCAAGTTATATCACAAAGATGTAGTAGTCAAAACTGTATGGTACTGGCACAAAAATAGACACGTGGGTCACTGGAACACTGGAAAGCCCAGAAATCAACCCACAATTATATGGCCATTAATCTTTGAGAAAGCAGAAAAGAATACGCAATGAGAAAAAGACCGTTTCTTCAACAAATAGTATTGGGAAAACTGGGCACCTACATGCAGAAGAATGAAACTGTACCACTTTGTCACACCATACACAAGAATAAACTCAAAATGGATGGAGGACCTAAATTTGAGAGCTAAAACCATAAAAATCCTAGAAGAGAACACAGGCACTAATTACTCTGCCATCAGCCGTAGCAATATTTTTCTAGATAGATCTCCTGAGACAAGGTAAACAAAAGCAAAAATAAGCTATTGGAACCACATCAAAATAAAAATCTTCTGCATAGCAAAGGAAACAACCAATAAAACTAAAAGGCAACCTATGGAATGGGAGAAAATATTCACAAATCACATATCTGATAAAGGGTTAGTATCCAAAATATATAAAGAATTTATACAAATCAATACACACACACCCCCCCCAAAGAATCCAATTTAAAAATGGGCAGAAGACATGACCAGACATTTCTCCAAAGAAGACGTACACATGACCAACAGACACATGAAAAATGGTGGACGTCACTCATCAGGGAAATGCAAATCAAAACTGTAATGAGATATCCTCTCACACCTGTTGGCTAAAATCAAAACCACAAGAAACAGTAGGTGTTGGCGAGGATGTGGAGAAAAGGGAACCATCGTGCACTGTTGATGGGAATGCAAACTGGTGCAGCCACTGTGGAAGACAGTATGGAAGTTGCCTCAAATAATTAAAAATAGAACTATCCTACAATCCAGTCATCACGTTACTGAGTATTTAGCCATAGTTTACAAAAACACTAATTCTTAGGGATATATGCTCCCCTATGTTTCGAGCAGCATTATGTACAATAGCCAAACTGTGGAAGCAGCCCAAGTGTCCATCAATAGATGAACGGAGAAAGAAGAGGTAGTATATATATACCAAATCTTGCCATTTACAACAACATGGATGGAGCTAAAGAGTATTATTCTAAGTGAAGTAAGCCAGTCAGGGAAAGACAAATACCGTATGATTTCACTCATGTGCAATTGGAGAAACAAGTAGACAAAGGGGGGGGGGGGGGGGGGGGGGGGGGGGGGGGGGGGGGAAGAGGCAGGTGATGGGTGAAATAGGTGATGGAGATTAAGAGTACAGTTACTGTTGTTGTTATTATTTATTTATTTATTTTTGAAAGAGAGCAAGTGCGCAATCTAGGAAGAGGGGCAAAGGGAGAGAGAAAATCCCAAGCAGGCTCCATGCTCAGCACAGAGCCAGACACAGGACTTGATCCCACGACCCTGGGATCATGACCTGAGTCGACATCAAGAGTTGGACACTCATCCTACCGAGCCACCCAAGCACCCCAAGAGTACACTTACCTTGAGGAGCACTGAGTAATATATAGAGTTGTTGAAACACTATATTGCACACCTGAAATTAATAGAACACTGTATGTTAGCTACACTGGAAGTAAAATTAAAAATAAACCTTGCTGATTACACATAATCAGTATGCCCCCTATCCTCTTTAGAAAATGTGAACATTTTGAAAATGCCAATAAATAGAGACTTCAATGAGCACCCTTGTACTTGACTTTATCAGATCTTAACAACTTGCCATATTTGTTTAAGGCCTTAAGTACATAAATAAATCATTACAGATAGAGCAAAAGCTTCCTTGTGAACTACATGTCCTTAATTCCATCACTTTCCTCAGAGGAGTTATAAATCATATTATAGTATGATTTAGGAAGTTTTTACACTTTATACAAATGTTATTGGATTATGATTTTCCTCTGTAACTTGTTTTTTTGGTTTAGTATTATGATTGGGGCACATATCCAACTTCGTATAGCTCTAGCTTATTCATTTTAACTTCTGTATAGTCTTCTAGTTCTCTAATTTAGAATTTTCCTATCCATATTTTGTAGTTGTGGACAGTTAAGGTGGTTTCCAGTTTTTGTTAACATAAGCCACGGTGCAGAGAGATGGGCAATAGTCTCCTTAGGTCTAGAAATGGAATTACTTTATCATAGGTCACATATAATTTCAGCTTTACTAGATACTGTCAAATTGTTCCTCCAAGAAGCTCTTCCCAATATATATATTCCCGCCAGCAGAAGCCAGATTTCTTATTTTTTCATACTTTGTCTGCTTTGTATTATCAGACTTAATTTTGATGGTCTCATGAAGTGAAATAGTATTTACTTAATCTGCATTTCCTAAGTTATTAACGAAGTTGGACATACTCTTCTTTCAGTTTTGCTTGTATCATTTGTTCATTGATACTGAGCAAAATACATTGCTTGTTTCTTATTGATCTGTATAGTTTTTTGTGTTTTCCTTATACAGTTGACCCAGGAGTTGGAGGTGCCAGCCCATCCCACAGTGGAAAATCCACATATAACTTTCAACTCCCCCGAAGCTGAACTACTTATTAATAGCCTACTGTTGACTAGAAACCTCCCTGGTAACATAAACAGTGGGTTAACATATATTTTATATGTTATATGTATTCTACACTATATCCTTACAATAATATCTAACTTTTAATTTTTTCCATATTTCTGGGCTACGCAGTTTATCTGTGAATTTTTTCAAATTGTTCCAAATTTCCAAAAAGTTTTCCAATGTATGTATTGAAAAAAATCCACAGTAAATGGACTGGCAAGGCTCAAACCCGTGTTGTTCAGGGTCAGCTGTACTGATGCTTTGTTGCTTGTGTATATTGCAGATATAGGCCTCCAGTCTGGGCTTGTCTCTTTAATTTGTTTATGGTATCTTTGGTTGAACATGAGTTTTTAATTTTAACACAGTCCTTTATCACTTGTTTTGTGGGTTTTTTTGTCTCTAGTACTTCAAAGTCTTAAAGACGTAACATCATCTAAAGGTCTTTAAATTTTTTGCTTTTTACATAGGTTTTGAATATTTCTTAAATCTCGTTTTACAGATAGCCAGTTGTTGTAGTGTAATTATTAAGTAATATGTTCTTCCTGTGTAAGTTTTCATTGCTACCTCTACGCTAGATTAAGTTTCTGTATATAAACGAACTACTCTTAGGTTCTGTGGTCTCTTTGTTAATTCTCACCCCAGTATTCCCAGGTTGTAGCTTTAAAATACGTCCCCCCACCTTGTTCTTCAAATTGACTTTGCTATTCTTGGCACTTTGCTCTTCCGTATTAATTTTAAAATTAGTTGGCTGAGTTCCATTTAATGTAATTTCAATCAAGATTTCAAAGGAAACTTTTGAAATCTTGATTGAAATTGCATTAAATTTTTGAGAAGTTCCATCTTCATGATTTTGAGTCTTTCCAGCCATGAGCATTCTATAATATCCTTCTGCTTATTCGCTGTTTTCTTGTGCCTTCTACTAGTGTACTTTGCTTCATAAAGGTCATGGCATGACCTTTCACTGTATTCCTAGGTTGTTATTGTTAGACTTGCTGTTGTGAATGAATTTTTTTGTATTACATTTACTAATCAGTTATCTGGCATATGGGAAATACTTGATCTAAATTTCTTTGTTTTCTTAAGTCTATTTTTTTAGTAATCTCTATACCCAACATGGGGCCCGAACTCACGACCCCGAGATTAAGAGACACATGCTACTCCTACTGAGCCAGCCAGGTGCCCCAATCTAATTTTCTTGATCTTAATTCCAGCGCCTTGCTGAGCTCTAATAATTTGTGACTTCTCTTGAATTTTCCGTGAAGATAAGTTGGGCAGCTTTATCCCTTCCTTTCCAGCTTTCATCTTTTTTCTATCCTATCTTGTTGGAGTGGAAATATTTTTTTTTTGCATTTCATATTTTGAAAGTGTCTTTAGGTACATACAAATTTATTTTTGTTCTTGGTGAATGTATTTTTTTCCTTATGTATCATTCCTCTTTATACCTATTCACGCTGTTGAATTCTAAACGATCTTAGTATTTTCCAGGTATATACTTTCTGTCTTTTTAACTTCAGCCTCATTTTTGTAATATTACTTAATTTCAGTATCTGATGAACAGCTGGCAGCTTATTATTTTCTTTTAATCCAGCAGATAACTTTGTGGTCTTTTAACATGCCATTTTACTCTTTTGGCCCTAACTCAAGCGATAAGCTTGGCTGTGTTCCCTCATTTGGCATTTTTGCATTTTTAGTCTCATTCCATGGTAAGAGCCAAACTCCTGGTCCTCACTGCCTTCCTTAACACTGAACCTCAGTGATTCAAGAGTTCGGCCCTGCATGCTACTTTTCTGTAGTGTTTCTGGATGTGAGAGCTTTCTCTTTGGTTACATTCATATTCACCATCGCGACATATTTACAGCAAAGTGTGTATATCAGAGCATGAAGTTAATCTGACATCTTGATGGGAGGTCTTTTGCCGCCTTTCTAATCTCCCCCTGTTGTTGGCTTCCCCTTCTAGTTCCTTACTAAAGGAGCAGATGCTAAGGAAGCAGGCCGAGTTAGAATCGGCACAGTGCCGGCTCCAACTTCAAGTCCTCACTGATGAGTGCGCTAAGCTTCATAGTCGTGTCCAGGTAGGTTTACCCTTTCTCATCCAGAGAGCTTTCGGGATAAAAACGGAAGAGGAATCTAAATTGGATTTCCGTTCCTCTCAGATACAAAGAAGGATCTATCTAGCTTTTCAGAAAATAAACAAGAACAAGTCTTTCATTCTTGATTAGGGCAGCGTGCACACTTGAGGGTGAATTCTGCAATTTGAACTTTTAAAACATTAGTCAGCTAGCTGATAATTTGAACCCTAAGTCATTTTTACCTCCCTGAATCTACCCCTAAAATGATGGGTTTAGACAAAATGACCATTAAAGACTTTGAACTCTACTATTTTATGATCTGTGCTCTCCTTAGTTCAGTTGCTGGTTGAAATACTGTGAAAACCGCATCAGTCCTCTAGGATTCATGTCAGCGGTTTCATATAATGGAGAAAACATCCCATATTAAATCAAGGAATTGTGTATGAGGGGAATATCAAATGAAAAGGCTGCACATTTACAAAATCTTTTTCACTTTAGGATTTGCAAAAACTTCTTGTGCAGCATCGGGATCAGATTTCACAGCAACCCGGGGGCTCCCAGGCACGTTTCCTGAGCTGCCTGCCCTCCAGCCAGTGCCAGCACAAGTACCGTTTCCAGAAGACCTTCACGGTGTCTCAGACAGGAAACTGCCGAATCATGACATACTGTGACACTCTGAGCTGCCTGGTGGTGTCACAGCCTTCTCCTCAGTCCTCCTTCCTGCCAGGTGAACCATCCAGATCCTCAGCGTTCATGTTCGTTATTGGACTTCAATTATTTCTCTCTCTTTTTGGAGAATCCAGGACTCACTAGTGGGTGAACACTGACCCTGGCCCACCAGATCACCTTTCCTAGTCTGTTAATGCAGGTCCTCTGAGGTACTGCAAAGGTATCTTTAGTGTCTGGCCAAAGTGTTGGCTTCATCCTGTAGATTTGTTCACCAAGAGCTCAGAAATGCCAATAACTGTGATAAAGTAAGAGGAAGATGGGGCTCTTGGAAGTGTGGGTTACTAGTGTAGGCCAAGGAGAAGGACAGCACTCCCTGTATGCCCCGTGGAGGCACCTCGCTGGCTCACTTGGTAGAGCATGTGACTTACGTTTGAGCCCCATGTTGGGTGTAGAGATATTACTTAGGGGCAAAAAAAATTTTTTTAATAAATAAGGTCACAGATTTTTTTTTTTTTTTTAATGTTTAATTTTTTGAGAGAGAGAGAGAGAGAACGTAAGTTTGGGGGTGGGGGGCAGAGAGCGGGAAAACATCCAAAAGCTGACTTTACAGCACTGATACGCTGGACAGCAACAAGTCTTACGGGGGCTCAACTGAAACTCAAGACGATCATGACCCGAAGTTGGATTAATTCCCACTGAGCTGGTCTAGTTGCCCTTGTCACAGATTCATTTTACACTGGATTTTTTTTTTTACAGTGCATATTTTTTGAGTTATTCATGAATGGTCCTTGTAAAAATGCCTAGTCGGTTCAGTACACTGTTGATTTTTGCTCTGGTCTTGATTGATTTTTTGCTCAGGTCATGATCCCCGTGTCAGGTTCCATGCTCAGTGTGGGACCTGCCTAAGAGACCTATTCTTCTCTTTCTCTGCCTCTGTCCTTCATGCACTGTTTGTTTTCTCTCTCTCTCTCTATCTTCACCTTCTACTCTCTTTCTCTTTCTCTTTCTCTTTCTCTTCTCTCTGAAATAAAAAAAGGGAGGGTGGGTGCCCGAGAGCAGGCTCATTCTCCACCACTGATTCTGCTCAGGTGTAATGACCATGATACTGTGATATCGAGTTCGTGTTATTCTGTGATGCTGCCTGACTCTTCCTCCTGCCTCTGTGCCTCCCCCCGCTCATGTGTGCACACGCCTCTCTCTCTTCCTCTCTAAATAAACTTTGTAAATCAATAAAATAAAATGTTATCCACAATAATTCAACATGGGTCAGAGACTTAGAAGAGATCAAGAGTCGATGCTCTACCAATAACTGAGCCAGCCAGGCACTCAGACTAGGAATACTTTTTTTTACTACTTAATATTATTTATTTATTTTGAGAGAGAGTGGGGAGGGAGGGGGAGAGAGAGAGAGAGAGAGAGAGAGAGAGAGAGAGAGAATCCCAAGCAGTGTTTGGAAGTTGTCATCAAGAGCTCAACATAGGCTGCTCGGAATGATTCAAGTAAGAACGAATCTAATCGTGGGTGGAGATTATTCCCTGAGCCAGAATCAGGAGTGGGATGCTTAACCAACTAGCCACCGAGGCACCCCTCGAATTCTTTTTTAAAATAATATCCCAAGGGCTAATTCAAGTTGAAATGAGATTTAATACTTATGTTCAGTAGTGTTAAATTGACAAATTCCAAATAAAAGAATTTGGAAATACATAGATTAGTATTGATAATAATACATTAATACTAAATTTTCTCAAATTTTGTGCTTTTTTAAGATTAATTTTAGATTGTCTTTTTTTTTTTTTTTT